CTGTCTGAGGCGTCTGCCTCCGCGACCCGAAAGGAGAAGCGGCGATGGAAGATGAAGATGAAGATGAAGAAGATGAGGATTGTCCGCCGTTGCCGATCCCACGCCCAGTTGAGAAAGAAATAAGGTTGGAGACTGTGGCGAAGTCTCCGTAAAACCTAGCCATCTGACTTTCGAAGCTTAGCCTAGCCGTCTGACCTAGCTATAATGGCATTGCCGTCATCGAAAATTATACCGGCTCGATCGTCGCCCGGGATGCCAAGGGCCGTCCATTCTGTTGGGAAATTGAGGCGGACGGCGAAAAATCGGCGATCAGAACCTGCTCATCGCCCTCTAGCAGCCACAGGCGTAGCAGCACAACAATGGCTGACGAAGACCGACGGAACGACGACGAAAATACCAGTCGCCAACGAAGTCGCTACCCGTTCTGAACGGAGGAGGTAGACAGCGCGGTGTCATTACAGCACGTCAGAAAAGGCAAAACGACACCGCCAGTGGGAGCCTACAGTCAGAAGTAGGAATATATCCTCACTCAGAGGTAAAGAGCAAGAGTTAGTTGATGAGACCATAAAGTGCCAACAACACATTGTTAGACTCTCGACAACGCAGTGCAAAGGCTCTGGAATCCTGAACTTCTGCGGGCAGAATCTGTTCTACTCAGGTGTTGATATCAGGACGTGCGTTCAGGCCTCAGTTGGTGTTCTGGTAGAGCCCAACCTCACAGATAGAATCACTGATCGGAAACCTGTCGATGGAAGGGTAGTGATCCTTTGATTGAAGCTAGAACAGCCCAAAGCGCTCACCTTGGCACTGGGCTATGCGCCCATTTTAGAGGGAGAATGTGTTTCCTTCCTTGAGGAAGTGTAGCGTGCTCTGTACGAAGTGCCGAATACGTTGTCCCTCATTTTCATCGGCCATCTAAATACGCGTGTCGGAGTAGACGCTGAGAAGTGTAACGACTGTTTGGAAAAAACTGCCCTAGCCACTTCAGCAGTAACGGCTTGAAGTTGTTGCGGTTTTGTGCGATCAACGGACTGCCCGTTACGAACATCTTCGAGCATCGAAAGTGCATCAGTGTACTCGGTACGGGGAAGCTTGTGCATGATGATCGATTTTGTAATCGAATTGTCTGACTTAAGACGCTCAGTAATGGATGTTCGCGTTGAGAGAGGAGCAGAGCATTCCACCGATCACTAGTAGCGATTGTTAGCACGCTGTGCTGCATGAAATGAAGTACCATGCGAAGATCTGGCAGCAAAGGCAGTCAGAGAACCAAATAGGAAACAATATCTTCAGTGACCACGAGAGTAAAATCTGCAAACAACATCGCCCGACGGCTTGAACAGATCCCGGTGATGGTCATTGATGTGGATACTGAGTGCCATTTGTTTAAGAGCGGCATACTAGAGGCGGCCGCCGAATGCTGCGGATTTAAACTGGTAGGCCTGCTGTCTGGAGGTCAGAAAAGATGCTCGTGGTGGACATGAAAGGTACAACTGACAGTTAAAGAGAAGAAAGCAGCGTTCAAGAAATAGCTTGGAAACAAGGAGCCTTCTACGCGCTTGCGATATGTGGAGACACGCAAGGCGGCAGCCAAAGCAATAGCAAAAGCCAAAGCTGATTCCTGGGAGAAGTTCGGTGAGGTGTTGAAGTCGAATTTCCGCACGGCAAACAAAGTATTCTGGCAGACCATCCTCCGGCTCTGAGATGAAAAGAAGGACAGTCTAAGAGTCTTCAAGGACAGGTTTAGACACCCTCTTGCGAAGGAGGATGATATTCATCGGCGATGGAGGGAGTACTTTGAGGAACAACTTAACCTTGCGCAGCCGCAGGAAGACTCGCCTCTAGAGCAGAACGGTACGGATATTACTATCTCTGTAGATGAAATTACAAAACTGTGAAAAGCTTGAAAAATCGAAAGGCTGTTGGAATTGATGAAATCCGCCCTGGAATGCTCAAGGCATTAGGCGAACAAGGCATGAGCTGGCTTACCCGTATCTGTCAAACTGCGATGACTACGGGAAAGACACAAGCGGACTGGAGAATGGGAGTTATTGCACCCCTATTTAAGAAGGGATACCATAACGAGCGCTCCATTTATAGCGGCATTACGTGATTGAGCCTCCAAGGTAAAATCTATGCAAACGTGCTAGAAGGGAGGTCCGCGGAATAACTGAGTCCAAGATACAAGAGGATCAGTGTGACTTTTGGCCGCGTAAAAGACATCTGTCCATATATTTGCTCTGCGGCAGATTGTTGAGAAATTGTGGGAATACGCCTGTCCGGTGTACATGTATTTTGTGGACCTAGAGAAAGTGTATGACCGAATCCCACGCAACAGTCTGTGGTCATGCCTTCGAGCTTATGGGATAGTTGGCCTGCTGCTAAAAGCCATCCAATCACTGTTTTCTGATTGCAGGTGCTGCGTCAGAGTTAATGGCGTAAAGTCAAAACCATTCAGCGTTCTCACTGGTCTCCGCCAAGGCTGCTGCCTGTCCGCTATCCTGTTTGTGTTGTACACGGATGGAATAGTCAGGGGCTGCGATGAGTGTATTGGTGTAGGAAATGTGGAGACGAGAAGATTGCTGTTTGTAGACGACTTTGTTTTATTGCGATCTTTCGAAACTGATCTTCAGAACTTCCTAGAAAGGTTCGCAGCGGAGTGCGACGTGACCGGCGTGCGTGTGAACGCATCTAAAACGAAAACCCTAGTGCTTTCTTGTTATCTTGCCCGTTGGTCTCTTGGAATTAACTGAGAGGTGGTGGGGTAGGTGGAGAAGTGCCTCGGAATTGTATTTGCTAGTGATGGAAAATTGGAAAATGAGATCGGCCGGCGAATTGGAGTAGCCAGTGGCGTTCTGCGTGAACTGGCCCGACCCACTGTGACTAAAGCAGAGCTCAGTCTGAAAACTAAGTTCTCAGTGTTCAAGTCGATCTTAATTTCCTTGCTTATCTATGGTCATGAGTTGTAGGTCATCACTGAAAAACTTCGAACCCGGGTACAAGCTGCTGCTGCTGAAATGGGCTTTCTTAGATGAGTCGCTGGCCTTGCGCGTCTCCACATAATCCGGAATACTGACATCCGGATGCGTTTTGGTGTACAGCCCCTGCTTCTCCTGATTGAGAAGTCACAGCTGCGATGGTCTGGCCATATATTTGGAATGCCTCCAGAAAGGAAGGCAAAGCAGCTGTTTCTTGCGAAACCGACTGGCAAAAGGCACAGGGGACGGCCAAGATTAACCTGGTCCAAATATATGGAATGAATGTCTTCTGCCGAAGCACAGATTCTGGTACAAGATCAGGAACGCAGGAAGTCGTGCCTCATACATCGGCCTCCGCGATCCGAAGGGAGAAGCGTCCATGAAAGATGAATGTGCAGGAGATTGTGCTAAAACCATTTCTGATTCACTCTTCTGATTGATTTATGTCATGCCATTACCCCTTATATCAGTTCGATGGTTTGCGACAGGAGAGAGTAAATGAGAAATGAGTTTTAATTTTACATACGACCGACACTGTCCTAATTGTACTCTGCAAAAAATCTGCATGAGATCGATCGAAACCTTGATCGTTAAGTAAAATTAATATTTATTTTTAATTGAATTTCTCTCGCTGCAGGCCATCGGATCGAAAATCATTTTGAAGATATTCTAGCAGTGGAATTGTTTTTGAGTATTTTGGAAGGCAATTGCAATAAGTAGCAACAAGCGATTGCTTAAAGATTGTTAATGATTTTTTATTGCATTTAAGGTCAAGGAACAAATCGCAAAATTGTCACCAAAGCATTTCAGTCCTTCACTGTTTTGTGGTAAGCTGAATGCAGAACAGTGGTTGTTGCTTGAAACGTTAAACGAGCAGATGCGGGAAGAATACAAGATCAGATCGCAAACTTTACTGAAACGCCTTGACGTGACAATCAGTTCCTTTACCTGGACAGATCGTGTCAAGGTTTCCGTTGACCGATTACTTTAGTTCTCTTAGTTTAGTTTTAGAAAAAGGAAGATGAACTTATGAAAACTTTTGCACATCATCGTCAGAACTTATGTGCTGCATCAGATGTCACCATATCAGACTTGCTGGCGGCGAGGAAAGGTGCGTTGCTTGTTTTTCTTATGGCGTTATGTTGTACAAAAACTTTTGTTGAAAAACATGATCATACTAGATTAAAAAGTTCTATTAAATCTACTAGATCATACCAGAATCTGTTTAGTATCTACCTTAATAATGCACATTTTGGGGAGCAGTGATGCAGTACAAAAAATCAAAAGCAGGCTTACAGCTTGTGCAGCAAGAAGGGGTGCTCGCATTGAATAGCATGACCGTACATCTCGTGTATTTTGTCGTGATGAAACCAAAATGTTATGCTGTCCTTTTTGTTCGCAAGTCGAAGACTTGCTATTCGTTTTTCGGCTGGTCGTGCCGAAGCGATGTGGATTTCATTTTTTACTCAAGGGAATTCGCCTGAAGAAGTGATCTTCCTTTGAGCGGATTTGAACTCTGCATCTCCGGAGTTCAAAGGTGACCTCTTAGGCTATTGTGCAACTATGCCTTCGGAAAGCAGTTGGTTGGTTTTTTATAGGTGCTGGCTTGAACAGTGCTACGACCAGCTGTGAAATGGATAGAAAGTCGTTGACTGCAGTGTAGTCTGACTTGGTCATGTCAGTGTATTCTAGACTTACGAAAGTTTTATCTTACGCGTTCCTTTTAGTCTGTAGTTGATTTTGCATCACTTGATAGCTGGCTGTGACAAAGTCGGGACACGGTGTATTCTATAAATAAACCGATCATTAATATAAGTGAATGTCCTTATTGTCCTGTGCATTGACTCTTTAATTAAGTTCTGCGAATTGCTTTAGTTGCAATGGTTGAATTAGAGCACTCATCTTATTTGCTGCCGCTAAACCAATAGGAGCTTCTGAAATAGTGAAAATTGCAAGGTTATTTTTGTGCATATCCTTGCCTGCAGATGAACCGCATTTTTGGTAGATGTACGAAAGGGTTTTAGTTTAGCCCTGTTTAGTGATGCGGTTTTGCATCAATGCACTAAAGGTGCTAAAATACCATCCAGCCTTGATCCGCTTAAACCATCCCTCAGGCTGCTGGAAACCAGGAGACAGTGCGGCCAAGCTGTATAAAATCCAGTGAATTGATAGACAAATTTGCTTATATTCTATTGAATTTTGAATTTCGTGTGAACTAAACCCATTCACTTGCTTCTATGTGATTGTGATAAAATTTTCATTATTTGAATTGATCTCCGGATGAATACCAATATGTAGAATTTCGATTACACCCTTAAACTGATTATTTCAAGTAATTCAGTCAAAACGACCATTTTGATATTGCTATTTAAAACAGTCTCGCTTGTTTAATTCATCTTAAGGAAAAGACAGCTTAAAGGTTCGATTTTTTGTGTTTTCTGTTACCAGTAACTTTTAAACTAAGTGATGCAAAATACTAAATATTCCTTACATTTAGATTTGACTCTTATCGAAAAAACCAGTGGCTCTTCTGTGAGAAAAAATACGCAGAGTAAAATAAACACAGTTATGATGCGTGGTCAAGTGCCAGATAGAGGAGGTCGACCAG